TGTGTGAGATTAAAATAGCCCAATTGTTTTTACAATAAATAAACATTGAATGTGTTTAATTGAATAGTAAAGGGGTTTAACGTTAGTGGCAGGTTGTGTGTGAGAGAGAATAAATAAGACAGCCCAATGTTTAAAATGTTTTTTATTCTTTTTCCCCGCATATTTAGCATATTTCGCAACTTTCCGCATATTTCGCAACTTCCCGCAATTTCACCGCATAAAATCACATAAAAACCCTGCATGTTTAATCGCATAATCAAGGATTTTAGCCCGCATAATCAAGGAATTTAGCCCACATAATCAAGGATTTTTGCCCTTGTTTTTCTGGAGGGTCTAATATTTACCAACACATGTTCTACGCCACTACATACTTGCATTTAAATGTGTGCTGTGCTGCGTCGGTTCAGCCATTCTCCGCAAGGGTTTTTGAAATTGGTCCGTGCGCAAAGCATTGTGGGGATTTGAAGGACGAGAAGTCTACCCATGTGCAGCCTCGAAATTACCCCCAAACCAAGGACGTGGCCTCGGTGGAATTCCAAGTATGCTGGAGATTGGAACAGTCCTTCGGCGGCACTCGATGACGTAGTATCCTTGAAATATTGGCTTGGANAATTGCATATAAATTCAGGCGTCAAGGGGTTAAAAGCACTTTCATTAAGCTTACCAGAATTTTGAAATGACTGTTCAAACACGGCTCAAAGTCAGAGACTCTGGTAAGCTTAATGAAAGTGCTTTTAACCCCTTGACGCCTGAATTTATATGCAATTATGTAAACATTTTTATTTTATGTGTTTTTGCTTTCAAGCAGATGCTAAAATAAGTGGAGATTATTAATTTGAATTTAGCACATAGAATAGATATAATTTTGGGTATGATGCAAATTAGCGACAACAGGCATTAATGGATAAAATAGTCATTTGGGGTATGATGCAAATTAGCGACAACAGGCATTAATGGATAAAATAGTAATTAAAACACATTTCCCATATCAGGCATGTAATTCATTTTATTGATGCCAACAAATAATTTAAATATAAATAGTATTCATTTCAAAAAAGTCTCTGAAGTATTGGATGGGCAGTCTGACTGCATCGGCCTCAGGAAGAGCGTCTTGCCAAACTGGGACTTCTTTCTGTCTTCTTGCTGTCTTCCACTCTACCCTCTGTCTTTTTTGTTTTGTAGCAGCTGCTGTGGTAGCAGCTGCTCTCGCAGCAGTAGCTGCAGAACTGGTGCTAGGGACCGCATCAGAGTCTCCATCAGTGCTGCCACTGTCATCACTGCTGCTGCTGATGCTGCTTTCGTCACCTGGTGTAAAAAAAAAAAGGTCACTATTGAAAAGAGTAGACATTTTTATTTATGATTTATGAGTACAGTTGTAAGACAGAAAAGTTCTTTGAAAACAGCTTTCCATACTTTGAGGTCAAGCAAAATGAAAAAAAAAAAAGCCACTATTGAATGCAGACATCGTTATTTACATAATACAAAACATGTAGGCTACTCATTGTGACATCCACAAATATTTGGCTAACAAAAAAGCTGCACAATATTATAACAATATTCAGCGTTTTCCCACTGACTTTTCTGCCAGTCTCGCAATGAATGGGAAACACTGATATTATAACATTATTACTACTATTCTCATCACCTGGTGCAGGTCTATAATCCTCATCCTCANAAAGCAGCAGAAAGTCGCCTTGTCGTCACTCTTGTTGAGACCGTGTCGCTGTTGGTCCTGTCCTGTTGTCTGCGGAGGCTGAAGTATTATTTGAATTATTTGAAGTATTAAAACCCCTTGACGCCTGAATTTATATGCAATTATGTAAAAAAATTTATTTTATGTGTTTTTGCTTTCAAGCAGATGCTAAAATAAGTGGAGATTATTAATTTGAATTTAGCACATAGAATAGATATAATTTTGGGTATGATGCAAATTAGCGACAACAGGCATTAATGGATAAAATAGTAATTTGGGGTATGATGCAAATTAGCGACAACAGGCATTAATGGATAAAATAGTAATTAAAACACATTTCCCATATCAGGCATGTAATTCATTTTATTGATGCCAACAAATAATTTAAATATAAATAGTATTCATTTCAAAAAAGTCTCTGAAGTATTGGATGGGCAGTCTGACTGCATCGGCCTCAGGAAGAGCGTCTTGCCAAACTGGGACTTCTTTCTGTCTTCTTGCTGTCTTCCACTCTACCCTCTGTCTTTTTTGTTTTGTAGCAGCTGCTGTGGTAGCAGCTGCTCTCGCAGCAGTAGCTGCAGAACTGGTGCTAGGGACCGCATCAGAGTCTCCATCAGTGCTGCCACTGTCATCACTGCTGCTGCTGATGCTGCTTTCGTCACCTGGTGTAAAAAAAAAGGTCACTATTGAAAAGAGCAGACATTTTTATTTATGATTTATGAGTACAGTTGTAAGACAGAAAAGTTCTTTGAAAACAGCTTTCCATACTTTGAGGTCAAGCAAAATGAAAAAAAAAAAAGCCACTATTGAATGCAGACATCGTTATTTACATAATACAAAACATGTAGACTACTCATTGTGACATCCACAAATATTTGGCTAACAACAAAAAGCTGCACAATATTATAACAATATTCAGCGTTTTCCCACTGACTTTTCTGCCAGTCTCGCAATGAATGGGAAACACTGATATTATAACATTATTACTACTATTCTCATCACCTGGTGCAGGTCTATAATCCTCATCCTCATCACTGTCTCCACTCTCACTCAGACAACTGTCCTCACTATCTGATGGTGGAACCCTGGTTTGTACTCCAGGAGTTCGTTTTCCATAAAACATGGATGTGTTCATTTTTTCTCCTGAGCAAAAATAAAGGGCAAAAATTGCATTTATATTCAACATTGTAACTTTATAAGGATTATAGAAAGTTACTAGAATTGTATTTCCTATAGAAATTGTGTATGACTACCGCTAAATATAGTATTGTTTAGATACGGCCGAATGTAGCCAATATGAAGCCGATTGTAACCAATGTAGACAATATGGCCGAATGTAGCGAATTCGCGACACACAGAAAAACTTCAAATAACTTCCGAAATATCTGTCAAAACTATTCTATTCTGCTTCGTTAGCTGCACAAACAAACAATAAACAGCAAACATATATTTTTTTTCAATAACTTACCTCAAATAGGAACGTATCTATTCGTATTTGCCTTCTCCACTCATTAGCGTCTAACCGGATATGCCCGCCTTCGTCGACCGGATGTAGCTCCCACTTTGACCGGTCCTACTAGAAACAAGTGCTTTGCAAAACGTTCCTAGGTCCGTATAGAAGAGACATGAACCGGCATTGGGGGAACACATGCACGATCTCGGCTGCATTTTTAATAGAAGCGGTTTGAGGCGAATTCGCGACAATAGGCGTTAAGGGGTTAAAGTGTCGCAACAAATTCAGAATGTGGGCGTGGCCAATCTTTTTTTTTAAATTGCGATAGCATAAAATGAGCTTCGGACGCAAAACTTGGGACACACGTCAGAGCCCACGACCCTTTCGAGAATGTACAAGAAAAACGTAATTTTTCAAAAAAACTGCTCACGAGCGCCCCCTATTGTGTGGTAGTCACATATAGTTTCTCAGAACTTCACGAATTTTGGCACAGACATTCTTCCTAGAATTGCGGACATATTTGTCTTTGCCTTCCATTAGCCCCGCCCCCAGAAAGTCGGCCATTTTGAAAAATGTGCGTTTTTCATGCATTTTTAGCACATTCTTGCGAACTCCTCCTAGGCAAATGATCGGAAAAATTGCAATGAAGGATAGGTTCAGCCCCTAGCCAATGTCATGAACAATTGTGGAGTACATTTTTGATATCTCCATCGGGGAGGTCGTAAGCGAACAGCGAATACACAATCTTTGACGATTTACATTTCTCCAAACTACTCGTATATAGTTTTTCCGATATTCACGAAACGCTGTATCCACATTGCTATTATGATTGCACACATATTTCAAATTGCTTTTCATTAGCCCGCCCCCCAAAAAGTTGGCCATTTTGAAAAATGTGCGTTTTTCATGCATTTTAAGCACATCTTTGCTAATTCCTCTTAGGGAAAAGATCGGAAAAATTCCAATCTAGGACAACTTAAGCGCATATCCAATGTGATGCTATATTGCAAAGGAATAGTTGTTCGCCCGAACGGGGAGCTCGTAAGCTAACGGAGAATGTACAGTGTTTGACGATTACATCAATCCAAACTCCAGTGCCGACATCATGGAAGCCCGCTCTACAAAGTCACACCGTTAACTCCGAATGACCTGACATTTTGCACACGTATTCGGGTGGACCTACTCTACATATTATCTCCTT